CAGAAGAAGTTTGAAAGAGCTCCTCTCATTGGATGAGGACATGAATGGGGAGGGAATAACTCAAGGGTTAAAACTCCTGCTGCTCCTACCTATGCGGATTCCTTCTCTGGGTTCCCTGCTATGACAGCATGGGAGCAATCTTCTTTCTCTCTCTCTCTCTGTCTAATAAATCGCTTTTCCGCAAAACTCTTTGGGTCCACAATATTTATTCAAATGGCAAACTCATCGTGCCTCTGGGTCCCCTTTCCCCATTCTTTGGGGTTAGAGAGGCCAAGAATCTCTTTGGAACTGGTAGCTGGATATGCTCCTCTGGTTAAATTCAAACTATAACACCTCTATAGATAATGTAGCTTTTTCATTGGCTTCTTTCAAGCTATTCTCTTTGTTTTTGATTTTCTACAATTTGGATATGATATGTGTAAGTGGGATTATTCTGCTGGTTGTACCCTGATTTTTCTAGATTTGTCATTTGGTGTCTGTGAGAAATTGAGTAATTTTGAAAAATTCTTGACCATTATTACTTCAAATATTTCTTCTGCCTCTCTTGTGTTTTCTCTCCTTATGGTATTCCATTTACACACATGTTGCATCTTTTGAAATTGTCCTACAATTTTTGTATGTAAACTTCTGGGGTTTAAAAGCTGTTTTTCTCTTTGCATTTTAATTTCTGAAATTTCTATTGACCTATCTTCAAGCTCACTGGTTCTTTCCTCAGCTGTGCAAAGTTTACTGCTGAGCTCATCAATCACATTTTTTTATTTGTTTTTGTAGTGTTTTTAATTTCTAGAATTTCATTTTGATTCTCAGTGTGTCTATATTTCAGTTATATCATGCGTATGTTTATGTGTGTTGCTCATTTTTCCCAATAGAGCCTTTAATATTTTAAACATAGTTATTTTAAATTCCTTGTATGATAATTTCATATTATGTTTCAGATATAAGTCTGGTTCTGATGCTTGCTTTGTCTCTTCAGTACGTGTTTTTTAAAGTTCCTTTAGCATGCTTTGTAATCAATCTCTTTTGAGCCAGAAATGGTGTATCAAGTGACAGAAACTGAGGTAAATAAGGCTTTAGTGTGATTGCTTATGTTTATCTGGCTAGGAACTGGGTTTTTTAATTTTTTTTTTTTTTTCTGTAGCTGTAGATGGTGGAGACATCAGATGTCTCTAGTTTCCTTGTTGTTACTCTTGTTATCTTTGGCTTCCCTGAGTACTCCTAATTAAATAAAGTCTATATATTGAAGCTATTTCCACCAAAATGAACTGCTATTATATTTTGTGGGGAATGGGAAGCATTCTATAATCTCATAATCACATCTTAGTCTTTTGGTGAATCCATATCTCCGAGCAATAGTCTTAACTAACGCTTTTTAGCTCCCCTCTCCCTTACAAAAAGATGGGAAGAATAGAGGGGACTAGAGTTACAGCAGTATATTTCCTCCATTGGAATATGGTTTGGGTAAAGTCTTTTCTCCTTAGAGAGAAGGTTTTTGCCATGGAGAATGCTCTGGACATATTTCACATAGTTACTCTTTTCTTCCCTGTGCTAAGGTCATGAGAAAAATTTTATTGGCTCTTTTCTGCCAATAAATTGTTGGTGGGTTTCTAGAGGTATAAACCATGAAATAGCATAGGCCCCTGCTAAGACTGCAGGCCCAAGGAATTTCTCACTTTCAACCTATTCCAAACTTGGTCACTAGTAATTTATAAAAATTGCTATTTAATGTTTTTTTTTTTTTTTTTTTTTTTTTTTTTCCAGATAAGCATATCTTGGCTGTGATGTATTCACTTTATCTGTCTCTCTTAATTTTGGAGTGGCAGTTTTTTCTAATTACTCTTATTCTCTGATGGACCTAAGAAAAGTTGCTGATTTTCAGCTTTTACAGCTTTTTTTGTTGTTGTTGTAAGGACAAGAGTGATGACTTCCAAGTATTTCACATGTCAGAGCTAAAACCAGAAATCCTAGTCATTCTTTTTCCTCCTTTAATTCTGAAACTTCAGCAATTTGCTTGTTAGTCTGTTTGCCATTGTCCCACAGAACATGGGAACAATATGCTTTTATTTCACTTTGATGTTTTTATTTTTATTTTGTTTTCTACTTTATATTTTTATTTCACTTTTTACTCTTTTTATTTAGTTTGTATATTTCCTATTGTCCTATTTTTAAGTTCAGTGATTCCCTCTGTCTATCCTACTCATAGGCCTCTAAAAAATTCTTTATCTTTAATATTTTATTTTTCATTTCTCATATTTGTATTTGACTTTTTTGTTATATCATTTTCATCTCTTGGTGACATTTCCTATCTTGTCATAAACATTGCTCATATATAAGTTTAGTGTGAAAGTTATCTGAAATTAAACACATAAACAGGATTATTAACTTTTGTGGATTAGAAGCACATATATTAGTAATTTATTTCTTTGTAAAAATAGTATAACCTAAGTCTTAGCCTATCAATGGTTAATTTACCAGTAAGATTTTGTTTGGATCTAATAATAATTATAAAGAAAATCAACATTAGGCTATACTTGTAAAACTGGATAGAAGCCATTTTATGAAGGCTTTGGATAGGCAAAAACTATTTGTGTATTTATGCTAACATTTTCCAGGAAAAACTTGGTCATTTCCGCTCAGTAGAGACAGATTTTTATAGCAAAGAAGTGGTGAAAATATTCTGCCTTTGGGGCAATTGTAAAAATGTTTTAATGTGCCTCAGCTGGAAATTTCTATGTTTTGCCAAATTAAATGATCATTTTCTCCCTGCAAGAAGTGTCTTTCATGTTGGAAAGGATTTGAGAATAGAGTATATTTGAAAACTATGTAACACATTTTTTAATTTTTACTGGTTGGCATGAAAATGCTGATATTTCATCTTAGCTTTAGCTACCAATGCGAGGATTCCTTTCAATAAAAAAAAGTGAAAAAAATTACTCAACTTAGGTTGCAGGAATAATAATATACTTTAACTTGCAGTAGAAAATGGTTGGTTGAACATATGTCTTTCCTGAAAAATTTTGAAGAACTTTATTTTTGTTCTTCCTCCAGTGGAATAAAAACAAAACAAAACAGTATTTCCGGAATACTATTTGATGAAGATTTAATCATTAGACTTCAATTATAATTTATTTTCTCTTTAACCAAATAAAAACAGATTCACTATGTATCAAGTGAGTTTACCGTTGGTTGAATTCTTTTTAAAATATTTTTCTGATTTATTCTAAAATTAACCTAACATCTTAATATCACAAAACTTATTTTTTTCTGATAGTGTTATAGTCTGATAATAGACTTTAAAGTTGTTTTCAGTGACATATACACTGTAATTGAAGGTGATCATTTCTTCTCAGTAGAGATAGATTTTTTTTTTTTTTTTTTTTTTTTTTTTTTTTTTTTTTTTTTTTTTTTTTTTTTTTTTTTTTTTTTTTTT